GCCGAGGGTCACTCCATCCTGGACGCTTCCTCTACTCCCGGATAAAGTTACTGACGTACGGGACATCAGCCTATGCCAGTCTAGACTATTCATCATGACCTCGTCTTACACAAGTAATGTCAGAACATGCTGGAATACAGAAGTCATAGCCAATACGTGACGGACGCGTGGCATACGATATCACATCAAAAACAGGCAAACCGCACGCTATTGCTGACATGCGCTTTGGGAAGCAAACAATTAATTGCACCCTTCTGTTGACGAGACCGCATTCAATGCGGTAAGGTTCGGATATGAAAGGCAATAAATGCTCCTATTACGGAGCATTTATTACATCCTTCCCGAAAGGAGCATATTGTACCGTCGGCATCCCGACGACTCAACATTGATTGCTCGGGACCCCGAGCAGTCAATTAGAGAAGACATTCCTCATCAAATCAATACACACGCTACCTGTGCCTGATGATCACCTACTGACCACACTGACAGCAATCATGAGCTTCTAAGGTATAAATACTCCTCCCAAAAGGCAAAGGGGGTATGCAATCACAAACTCTCTACTACAAAATATCCTTCTCAGTGTTTTCTCCTTCCTCTCTCTCATTCAAAGACTGACTAGACCGTCGGAGGGGATACGCCGGAAAACACTCTGGCGCCCTTCTAACTTGTTCTCCTTTGTTCCAGGAAATACCTTCCACACGTACAGGATCGTTCTCCCTTTCCCAAGGCCTTCCTTTGCCGTTCCAGGTTGCCACCGTATCTCGAAGGTTGTTTCAAGCAGCGTGTTTGGCCACTCAACCGGCTCACTCAGAGTTCACCAGGGGAGAGATCTGTTCCCAATATTTTATATATCGTGCAGGATCGAGCCCGCACGATCTGGCGCCGTCTGTGGGAAACGAGAAGTTTTCCTAATCTTTTCTCTATAAAGAATAGTGACCATGGTGAACACCAGACAGAAAGGGAAGGGACCCTACCAAAGGAGTCATGAGTTACAAGCTCCCTGCCATCACGGGGGGAGGGATCGGACCAGTACGATNACTTTGGCAAGTTTCAGTTCCAACCTAACTAGTTATTCTCCTCATCAAAACCTAAGAGGCCTTTATGCTCGCCAGATTTGGAGAGGCCATCTTGCTCGCCATTCTTGCTGTTGATCAATTCCCTCTTTTGTTGTCATTGTTATCAAAACCCAGCTCCCCTTCCTCTCTATGTTGCTGTCGTTGCTGTTGAAATCCAGATCCCCCTTCCATCTGTTTTGCAGCCGTTGCTGTCGAAACCCAGCTCCCCCTTCCCTCTGTTTTGTTGCCTTACTGCCGAAACCCAACTCCCCTCGCCTATGTTTTGCTGCCCAAACCCACTCTCATCTCTATTGATTTTTGTTATTGATAGGTATTGATTTTTGGTTAAGTAGGTATTAATTTTTGGTTAAATATATGGTTAAATTGCTATTAATTGATGGTTAAATTTATACAATGTATGATTGAATTGTTATGATCAATTAATTTTTGTTATTTGAAGTGGATAAGTGTTAAATAGTTAATTAAAATAGAGAACATGATTGAAGTAAATTTTAAAAAATAACTAGTTAAAATAGAGTATATATTATTTAAATATATTTTAGTTTACTATTTTGTTGAACTAAGTTGAAATTGCTCCATTAATTCCATGCTATAAGCTAGACTTTATTACTGGCCATATATAATAGTAATGGTGTAGCACTTAGATGCTAACAACTGATAAACACAACTCTTGTCACATTTAGAAAAAGTTATGAAAGCAATTATGAAACCTAATTGGCACAATCTTTCGAGCTGGACGGTCATTATGGCTGATTTTCTTCGCCAAAAAGAGAGAAAAGAAAAAAGAAAAAAAACTGATTTTAAATTTTGGGTTTTTGAATGGGGTTTCGTGATAAAGTTTGCAAAGGGAAAGCGGGAAATGAAGAGGAAGGTGAACCACCGTTGAGAGCGGCGATCAAGGGGGTGGGCGAAATCAGGTAAATTAGTCAAAAGTAATGGGCCAACTCTTCCAAAAGATGCAAAGTTCAATCCCAGAACAAATAATCAAAAATAAAAAAGAAACTGAAAGTTGGCGGTTTCGTGGTGGGTTTGTCAATCGGGTAGTTTTTGGTGGGCCGGACTCCACCGTTTACAATTCATCCATTCCAACAAAGAAAAAAACAACATTAGTAAGAAAAGTAAACCTTACTACTGTATTCTACAAGTAATGACACCAGATTTTGCCTATAATATGTGGATTTGGTCCAAAGCAGACTCGTAAAAGTGTGGTTTCTCTCTCTCTCTCTCTGTGAAGTGGAAATCTTTGTAATTTCAGAAATAAGTAAAATATTTAAGCAGAGCCGTTATGTATTGTAACGCGTATATATATGTTCAGAATTATAAATACACACCACAGTGGATATTCGATAGATAGACAAGAAACAGAGAAAGGGAGAAGAAACGGGCACTTTATATACGGTATATTTGGGCACGGAACGCTTTGGACCCTCTCTCTCTCTCATTCAATGCTTTACCGAACTCACCACCACCCCTTTTTCATCCCATTCAACTCTTTAACCTCCTCCATATCTCCTCATCCTTTACCTTCAACAACCACTCCTCTTCCTAACCTATTTGCTTCCCCTTCTCTTCAGGTATTTTTTTTATTGCTCTCAAAGTTGCCTTCTTTTTCATACTTTTTTCTGGTTTATAAATTGATTTTAATGGTTTTGGGTATGTGGGTGTAGGTTGAACAAGAAATGGAGTGCGTAGAAGGGGCATTAAAAAGCAGTTTCAGACCGGAGATGGCGGTCAAAACGACCACCCAACAAGCGTTTTTGGAAGACTCGTGGGCAGTTAATGGTCAAACCGGCGTTTCAGGAGATGATTTCTTCGTGGACGACCTTCTTGACTTCTCTAAAGCAGGCTCTGAAGATGGCTTTGCCGAAGAAAAAGAACAACCACTTGAAGAGAACGACAAGGGTTGTTTTCTCTCTGTTTCACTCGGGAATGACAACTCCTCTAAGCCTAGCACAAGCGCTTTCTCAGTCAAGGATGATTTTGGGTCTGTCCCCGGCAGTGAACTCAGCGTTCCGGTGAGGCTTTCTCAGTCACCCTCTCCCTCTCTCTCTCTCTCTATGTCTGTTCTGAAAGAAAACCGTTTTTTAGGGGGTGTGATTGAGAAAAAATGACCTTTTGCAGGCTGATGATTTGGCGGACCTGGAATGGTTGTCTCATTTTGTGGAGGACTCATTTTCAGGGTACTCTTTAACATACCCTGCCGGAAAATTACAACCCAAGCCGGCAGAAAACCAGTTGGAACCAGGAGTTCCGGCCGAAACGAAGCCCTGTTTCACAAGCCCGGTTCAAACCAAGGCCAGAACCAAGAGAATCCGAAACGGCGGTCGAGTTTGGTCACTTGGGTCACCATCACTGACCGAGTCGTCAACGTCTTCGTCTTCTTCGTCATCTTCAACGACTTCGTCTTTGCCTCCCAACCCTTGGCTCATCTCCACAAGCCTAAGCCAGACGGCTGAGTCCTACATCGAGAAACCGCCGGCTAAAAAGCACAAGAAAAAACCGGCAACCGAAACCTCCGGTGGCGGTGGTGGTGGGAGCCAACAGCCACGGCGGTGCAGCCATTGCGGCGTTCAGAAGACTCCACAGTGGCGAGCCGGTCCACTCGGAGCCAAAACGCTTTGTAACGCATGTGGGGTACGATACAAGTCGGGTAGGCTCTTGCCCGAGTACAGACCCGCTTGCAGTCCGACATTTTCGACTGAATTACACTCCAACAACCACCGTAAGGTGTTGGAGATGCGTCGGAAGAAGGAATTGGAAGACGATTTGGCTCCGGCGGTTCAGAGTTTTTGAAGAAATCAATTTAGGTAGGAAAGCGAAAGTTTAGGACATGAACCGGATAATGAAGCCGGTCTAGACAGGCCCCATCCATTTTAGTGTACAATTTTATTCAATATTATGCGGTAGGGTTTCCCTTGGCATTGTAACCGACAGGTGAGACTTTAATGTACTTTTATTTAGAAATTTCATTTTTATCAATTTTTGGGTTTTTTATTCACTTTCAATTTGGAGGAGAGAGAGAGAGAGAGAACTAGTTTGAGTGTGTGGGAAAAGATTCAAACTTTTTTGTCAAGGCCGTTGGAAAGCGAGAAAATTATGTTGCAGCACGAGACCATGGTGGGGTGTTAGAAAAATGGTTATGGCGTGAGGTCAAGCTATTCCTTGCACTTAATTCAGCCCTTTGTTTTATGTTTTGGGTTTTTTTTTTAAATATAAAATAAGGTTTAGGGACCCTTTCTTTAGACCTGTGAGCTTCGATATATTCACTGCTATATCTGTACACAGAGAGACAGAGAGAGAGAGAGAGTATGAATCATGGATGTTGATATGGACCACCCTTGTTGGACATTAGGATGTACACTTTCTGCAGGCATCAAAATTTCGATGTTACCCATATCTATAAAGTGCTCCAATTCCTATTTCTTTTGCATTTTCTTTGCTATGCATGCTAAAGGGACTGTAGACTTTTTACAGGAAGAGGAAGGGTTGCCCTCATCACTGACCTTTGCTATTCAGTGAAGGTGTCGTGTAGTTTTGGCATTTTGCCAGTTTATTATCGTTTCATTTTATTTTAATCTTTCATGCATTCGGTTTGATATGGATATGTTTATATGCCTTTCAAGCAACTTCATACTCAAAAAGTCTCTGATTGAGAGAATAGTTCTTAGAACATTGAGTAAATTAGTTGGTTAGTGAATATCAAATTAATTGAAGAGTGTAAGATACTCATTCAAAAGCATAGGTCAACGTAGTTCACACGCATGTAAGATTCAAATTGGGCCAGTCTATTGGGTTAAAATAACATTGTTCTGGCTCTTATGGGAGTTGGAAACAAGACGAACTGTTGTCTCTAACCCTAAATCTTGTGATGTCTTCAGCCCAAATTGTCTGCCTCAACTATAAAACTGTTGGAACTTAAACTCAAGTTGAGTTGAGAAAAAGGGCTAGGCGGGTGGGGAGACCTATCTAGGAGTCGGAAAAACGGATGGATTATAGAGCTAGAGGCAAATCGAAGGGTGGTGAACTATACAATCCCAATAATACTAATTTAGTTAAGTACAAGTAATTAAGTTTTTAATGGAAGCTTTAGGGTGAGAGATTAATACATCTAACATGATAAAATGGTAGAAGTATAGGGCTAAGTTAACAAGCTATTCTATCTATAAGGAATTGGAATTGCATACTTAACCAGACAAATCCTATGTCTTCCGTAGCAATCTCTTGATTCCAACCATCTCAACTACTTTCCAATCTCTAAATAATGGTACACTAGGAAAAGCAATATAAGAAAATGGCCTGTCGAGTTGTGTGGGACTGCTTGGGTCATGTTGGTTAATGCTGTGAGCACCGAGGACTCGTAGGCGCAGGGGCACATGGAGTGTCAAAGCAAATCAATTCCAGTTTACAACTGAGAAATATTTGGCAGCTCTAACTTAACTTTGAACTAACCAATGTACTCTAACTTTTTTTTATTATAAGATATTTAAATTTGTGTCAATTATTTTTTCGAAAAGAGAGTTTAACTTGGTCATCTATCAATCTCTATTTTTCAACCTTGTATTTTACTATTTTTTGCCTCTTTTTTATGGGTTCCACTCTACTTTTTTTTTTTTTCGAAATTGTTATCCTTTCAGACTTAAAATGATTGCATATAAGAAAAATCGTAGTAGCTAACTACACTATACTTGGTTGCTTTGACTCCTCTCGTCTTTGAGGAAGTTTGGTATTTTAACTTCATTAGGTGGGCATATCAAAGAGACCCATGTTAGATCATGAAGTAAAACATTGGAGTATTAACCCCATGTGTCCATTGACCTGAAATTCTGGTATTTGTTCTCCACAGAGTTTGACCTATAAACGCGTCATTCATTATAAAAATAAAAATAAAAATAAAAAATACACATTTTCACCCTCAGTTGTGACTCATTTTATTCTCTTTAAATAAAAAAAAAGAATTGTCCTCTGTTCAATGACCTTATTTTAAGTTGAGCCTTGACTTTTCAAGAAACATATTATGGTATCGGGGAAAAAAGTTTGGCATCGTACCTCTAATTTTTACTACTTTAATTAATGTTTTTATAATTTTTGTTAGCTATTTTACAACAAAAAAAATTATTATTTTTATAGGTGGTTTACCATTTTTGTGGGTGCTTTTACCACTTTTGTAGTAATTATTTTTATTACTTTTCTTCATTACAAAAAAAAAAAAAATACCACTTTTGTGAATAATTTATTACATTTGCCGGTTTTTTTTTACCACTATTATAGTAACTATTTTTGCTATTTATTTGGACACCAAAACTGTAATAAATGAAAGTATGGTACCGATTTTTTTTTTTTTTTTGGTGCCGTAGTCAACTCATAATATATGGAAAAAAAAAATCTATCGTTTTCTCTCAATTTCAGAATCCTAACCCGAAGAAAGAATTTCAACATCTTATGATTAAAGGGAAAGATTGCGGTACCGACAACGGTAATACTTAAAATTATAATTTTTTAAAGTTGAGTTATAATTTTTTAGAAATATAAGTTATAATTTTAAAATATATGATTGATTATTATTTGTGATCAATCATAATATTGCTTTGAACAAGGATAACTCTTTTCAAAAAAAAATTATAATTTTGTCACAAAAAATAATAATCGGCGATACGATACTCTGATCTAGACTTGCCCATGATTAATGGAGCTTTAATTGAGTTTCTTTTTCTTTCATTTTTGGAGGCATGTAGGTGTATAATGAGTTTGAAAATAGAGAAGTAGCGACAGCCAGTTATTAGAGTTTGGCAAGCCATTGAAGGCTTCTGGTGCCGTCAATTACTCCTTCATCAGCTGTGTACCGAAGGCATAATTCCCCAACAGCCTTACATTAACTAAACATCCACCACTACAAAAAAAATCAAAAAGAAAGTGCTCAAATGAGGTTAGATATGAACAAATACAACAACAGTATAGAGTTGTTCAATCCGAATTATGCAAACGTTTTAAATCTCGTTACATGTTTATTTTTACATAATTATATATCTCTTTAAATTTCAATCGCACGGTTCTCATGGTACAGAGTAGTGGGCCAAAGCTCAATCCTTCAAATTCGGGCCTATATTCACACAATCCAAAGGCAATTAAAGTAGATTGTCACAATTTGATGTCTTGACCGTTACTACAAAACATGTGCCATATGCCAATTATGAGTCATACTATATTAGTTACAGAAATTAATTATAATGATGATGGGGATGTGTGATTAGTGTGTTTTGGTTTTTTTTTTTTTAAAGTAACTCACTATTAAAAGAACATAATCGGACAACAAGGTCAAAAGTTTGGGCCGGCGGATCACTAGTTGAGTGATGCATACCACATGGCAAGCTCAAAAGCCTAAAAGGGCCACCCATCCCCATCCCCCTCCCCCTACCCCTCACTCTTTATTGTAATACTTATCTATATATCAAATGTGTAATGTTAGTGGCACTAAAAAATTCATTGATATAATAAAGTCGAAGGATTATATTATTGAACCGCATTACTGTTACATCATTATGTCAATAATTTTAATTAATTTTTTATATCCCACTAACATAGCATTTCAAATATGCTATAACATAATGAAAAATAATACACAATCTAAATCAAATCTAAAAATTGTAACTCAAATGCATATTAATCTTTGAATGAGTATTGGATGAATGAGTTTCATTAAAAAAAAATTAATGAGACTCACACAATCACTCAAAAAATGATATACATTTGAATTATGTAATGTTAATATGACGTAATAGTAGATACCACTAATTGTGCCCACCACACCTTTTTGACTTGGGTGTTTGCTCCCATGCCTCTGGCTTTATGTGTCTGTGTAATCTGATAGTACTTGTTATTTTCATCAACTTGCTTGTCTACTACCTAGTACAATTTCTGTGGAATCAAATATCTTGCACAGGTCTTCAACCACAAAGATGCGATTTTTGTAAATGTACCCTAGTTTGCTGATTACTTTGCATGAAGTGGATTGGACTACAGTGTTGTGTAAGACCACTAGAAAATCTTAATGCTGACTGCAGTCTGATGTATTAAGTCACTTCATTTTTGACATGTTGGATAAGACTCAACAAAGGACACATGACAACCCTTGGACTGGCCCAAACCAAGTCAAGCCTTGTGGGCTTCAAGGGCTTGTCCGATACAAGTGAAGAATTATCCCGAGGCATAGGGCCGTGCTTCAGTCTGCTTGGACCTAATGGACTGGACCGTTTAAATGCCATGAATGTGCCTGTTGGTTAGACTTGAGATCCACCCCATCTGCGCTGCAAAATGCGCCTTCGTTCATGTGTTAACCAAAACCGGAGATTTGGCGGTAGATATTTTTTGTAGAATTTATTGTCTTTTAAGTATCATAGTCATATTTATATTCTATTAAATTAATTTTTTTTATCAAATTATTATCATTAAGTACACATTTTTAAATTCTTTATTTTTTTGTATTACCTAATTTTCTATATCATAAATACTGCATATCATTATTAGTTAAGTTTTTAATGTTTTCAAATATAACAATTCCTAACTTAGGAATATTCCTAGCATTAAAATTATATAATTGTATTACAGATAGTGTTGAAACACTAGGAATTGAGACCCTGAGCAATGGAGCTGCTAATTTAACCATTGGTGGTGGTTTACCGGTAGTTGAACCTGTAGTTAGGGCTAGAGTAAGAACATTTACTGAAAACTTTGTTTTAAGCTGGTTAATGATACGTTGGTGGTCAAACTTAATCCACCATTTGACGTAAAACTGATGGATAACTGTATTAACAGTAATGAAGTATTGCCATTTAAGAATTTACGGAACCTTGTATTTACTCATGAAGAGAAGTAATGTAGGGAACTGTGAATTATGTTGACTAATTTTAAAGTACGAGAAAAAGTAAGTTACTTGATCTTAAAGATCAATTGGGAGGATTTCAATCATGGGGCCATGCATCTGCCATCACCTCAAAAACTGATAAGGGATTTGGCTTTTAAAATCTTTGGTGAACTAAATATATAAAATAAAATACAATATAATTTAAATCTTAAAAGATAAATAAAATGACTTCTATTTTTTGCTATTAAGATCTTTTTGAAATTTATTTTAAAATTAATCCAATGGTTAAAATTAACACCCCAAATTTAATAGAGAAAATAAGCCTATAAAATGCGTGTTTGGAGTGATTTTTTAATAGTGCTTCTAGCACTTATAACTTCTCACCCTTACCCCCATCCACCCCCACCGTCCCACCAGCATCACAAGTACCACCACCACCGCCACCATAACACCACAATTACCCCCATTACCACCCCCACCACCACTCACACCCACACCCACACCACCACCACCACTATTGCTACTCACTACCGATTGCTACCATCGTCGTTCATCGCTACCACCCGCCACCTGTTGGAACGAAAATTCCAAGAACCATTGGCAGCGCGTATGTATCGAATACTAAAAATTTTCTTTTAAAATCATACAAAGTGGAATTAGGGTTTACTTTTGAGATCGCTCCGGTTTGATTTCGTCTCAGTACAAACGCAGAACCCAACAGCAAACACGGAAGATAGCTCGATGAACCTCGTGCCCTTCTGTTGTATATCCGCTAACGTTAGAGTTCGGATGCAAAGTGGGTTGCCAGAACTTTCGAACTTTTGCTCTCCCTTTCAGCTTTTCTAAAAAATGTGAGTAAAGAATAAATGCTGAATTTGAGAGCCTAGATGTCTATATATAGGCTACGACAGAAACCCTAAAGAGAAATAAGAATCGGGCTTCCAATGGGTCTAAGATTCATATGTTCAATCTAAAACAAACATCCTACAACTCATTAATAATAAGTCAGTCTACTAAAAACTTATTATTGATCTCCTGAACCTTATCTCAAAAGTATATTCGAACTCTTTATTATTATATACTTAATAATCTCCTTACGTTTAAGATTACAGATGTATATCAATTAAATAAATTACTGACAATTATATTTAATTGACTTCTTTTATTCCTTAAGATCTTACCACTCAATTTATTTGTCATGTCAGATAATTAAATCCACCTATAGGGTTTGACATGGACAAAACTTATGAACTTCTTCAAGTAGACATCATCAATCCATTTAAATACTAAGATGTGGTTTTATTTAATAATTAATTTCACCATACAAATAACATTGTCTCCTAATTCACCAAGTTTATTGACTCAATATGATTCTCATCCTTTGATGAATTAAAGTAACAACTATTTTATGCACGTGACAATTAAATATTTTGGGATTAAGAATATAAGCAATCATAATAATCATGAGATATTTATTATCTTATTAAATTAGTAAAAGATAATAACCTCAACATGGATCTGTTCAATACACAAAATATACTAGTGTAATAATCCGAGATATCAAACAGTCTCCTACAATCAAGACAGACTATGCCAGAATATTACACTACAATCATACTGATGGTGTATCTAATTCCATCTAGAATTGTGAATTTATACTCATATTATACAAGAATTCGATAATCTGGTCTTCCGTGTATAAGTTGAACTTTACACACCAGATTATCTACAATGTAAAATATAAAACACACATGTATACTATATATTAAATGTAATGTAAATATTTTGCCCATATAGATTTTCAATAAATGGAAAGAATAAATTTTTATTAATTAATAAAACGAGTTTTCCTATAAAAAGCAAGCTTTTAGTTTACTATTCTATCACCACCATCATCATCCCATTACCATTGTCGTTCACCGTCAGGCACCACCCACTGCCACCCATCATCGCCCACCATCGCCGCCAGATACTGTCATCTATCCTTATCACACCTACCACCATCACCCGTCATTGCCCACTACTGTTGCCACCCACTACAACCCATCTTCCACCACACTTACAACCACCATTGCCACCATTTTCTACCGCCCATCACATTGTCACCTAGAAGCACCCCGTTGTCGTCCAACACCACCATCTGTACCACCCACCACCACCACCACCACCACCACCCATGATTGCCACTACTACCATTGTCACCCAAAATTCACCGCCACTATTACTGTTGCCAACCATAACTATCACCACCATTACGATCATCACCATCCACCACAACCATCACTGTCTCCTACCACTACTATTGTCGCCCACCACCACTACCACTGATTACCCTTACTACAACTGGTGCTTAAATTTTTTTCGATTTTTTATACGTTTGTAATTTAATTTTGGGTGTGAATTCTAATATGTTTATTGTTGACAATTTTTTTTTATTACTTCGTGCATTCAAGCATGAATAATAACTAACATATATATATTAAACAATAACAAGCTCACCAAAAAAATAATAAAATAAAACAGTGACATGCTAAACAAAAAAATGGTCATATCAAACAGTAACATAATCAATTAAACAAATTTTTCTTAATGGAGTTAAATCTGAATAAATTTGCAAAAAAATACCGCATCCAAAGGACGCAACAAAAAATACGATTACTGCCTGTTTAAAGATTCATTTGGTTCAGTGCGCGTTTATAACTCGTCAACCGCCTATTCATAGACAATAAATGGGTTTGGCAAGCGCGGCCCAATATCAGATCCTTAGCATTTCAGTAAGGATGCCTATTGGGCCCTTTCCGCATGATTGAGATCATCAGCCCATTTGGTTCATCTGACAGTGGGCTGTTTTCAGAGTGCAATTCAGCCGTTTTGCATATCCCTTTTCCAGGAATTTTTTTTTTTTTTTGCAGGAAATATTATTTATACCGAATTTTTTTTATGGGTACCATAGTTAAGTCCTAAGAAGAGAGAAGGGGCAACAAAGCACTGAAAACCAAGAAAGACAAACCATTTTATTTCTTCACTAATTACTATGAAAAAGTATTCCATACAATGCAATGTATTGTTTAAAGAAAGGCACTCCCATTCAAACTGTAAAAAGAAACTTTGTCGGTTCAACACTCGGTGGAAATGATTGGATAGGATATTGAAATCAACAAACAAAATATCTTTGAAAATAACAAAGTTTATTTCTTATTTCTTAGTGGAGATTCATGCACATCTTCAACGTCCACTGCCCATACATTTGTTGCATGTGCTTGCCTTAGTTGGAGGGTGGTGGATGGCCACCACATCCCCACTCCCAGCAATTCCCTTGGTTGCCGCCTGATCCCCCACCACCTCCTCCTCCTCCTCCCCAACCCCAACCTCCACCTTGACCACCCCCACCACCACCACCACCACCACCTCCTCTTCCTCCTCCTCCTCCTCCGCTACCACCATTACCACCTCCACCTCCACCTCCACCACCCCCACCACTTCCTCCTCCCCATCCATAGCCTCCACCATTTCCTCCTCCACCTTCTCCTCCGCCGCCACCACCTCCACCTCCGCCTCCGCCTCCTCCTCCTCTTCCACCACGGCTTCCTTTCCCATGTTTCCTTTGATGCCCTTTCCTTCTTTCTTTTCCACCACCACTTCCCCCTCCACCACCACCACCACCACCACTCCCTCCTCCTCCTCCTCCTCCTCCTCCGTGACCCATTATTTCAGTTTTGCTATCAACCACAACTTCATTACTGGATGTTATGTTCCTCCTTTCTACGTGACCAACATCCTTGGGAGATCGCAACCTACGCATGATTATTTTGTCGAAGTCTGCAGTGCCATTTCTAGCTTCATGACCATTCAGCCCCTCAACCAAACAAGGACTCAGCACTATTACAAGAATCAACAGTGACCCAAAACCCATCTTGTTCACAGCTAGAGAATGCAATGAGAACACATCATCAGTCCCATTCAATTATATACTAACAGATTTCCCTGTGTTAATTAGGGTTTGAACTTTGAAGAGCCACTGACAGCTACCTAGACGAAATCCCCCACTACAACAAACTAGCCTCAAAGCCACCAACACCATTACAAAGGCTGCAAAAAGGCATGGCTAGCTAAGAGATCATTTGAGAGTAATATTTCTTGCTCTGCAATTTTGGCCCCACCTACATTGTTGCCAGCTCCATGGACGGTGAATTATTCACTCAATTCCCTCCTCCCTATTTTGCTTGCCATAATGGCATGCATGGCCTCTTCACTTATTCACCCAGTACACCTATTATCCATCCTATACTATGTATGTAACTGTAGCCTTACAAAATTTCAATGTATACTCATTATCTTTGTTATCCTTATTAAGAATTATGAAATTGTTTGGTGTAGTGATAATGTATAAGATTGCTGGTATTTTTAGCCAGAAGGACGTGCATTAATTAGCAATATCATTATGGTCNCTTTCCTTCTTTCTTTTCCACCACCACTTCCCCCTCCACCACCACCACCACCACCACTCCCTCCTCCTCCTCCTCCTCCTCCTCCGTGACCCATTATTTCAGTTTTGCTATCAACCACAACTTCATTACTGGATGTTATGTTCCTCCTTTCTACGTGACCAACATCCTTGGGAGATCGCAACCTACGCATGATTATTTTGTCGAAGTCTGCAGTGCCATTTCTAGCTTCATGACCATTCAGCCCCTCAACCAAACAAGGACTCAGCACTATTACAAGAATCAACAGTGACCCAAAACCCATCTTGTTCACAGCTAGAGAATGCAATGAGAACACATCATCAGTCCCATTCAATTATATACTAACAGATTTCCCTGTGTTAATTAGGGTTTGAACTTTGAAGAGCCACTGACAGCTACCTAGACGAAATCCCCCACTACAACAAACTAGCCTCAAAGCCACCAACACCATTACAAAGGCTGCAAAAAGGCATGGCTAGCTAAGAGATCATTTGAGAGTAATATTTCTTGCTCTGCAATTTTGGCCCCACCTACATTGTTGCCAGCTCCATGGACGGTGAATTATTCACTCAATTCCCTCCTCCCTATTTTGCTTGCCATAATGGCATGCATGGCCTCTTCACTTATTCACCCAGTACACCTATTATCCATCCTATACTATGTATGTAACTGTAGCCTTACAAAATTTCAATGTATACTCATTATCTTTGTTATCCTTATTAAGAATTATGAAATTGTTTGGTGTAGTGATAATGTATAAGATTGCTGGTATTTTTAGCCAGAAGGACGTGCATTAATTAGCAATATCATTATGGTCATACCAATTGAATATATTCTAAAAAAAAGTAAGGGTAAAATAGGAGTTAATTGTGAGAAAATCTAAGTATAAAGTAAAATTATTTTTTTATTATTCTCCATTTCATGCTAACCAAGTACAGAAATTTTTTAAAAAAAATTTCTTTCTTGTAATTTTTCCATTATCTCGCTAAAGAAACGGAACCTTCGGAAAGCAAGTCTTCTCCATTAGGCCGGCGCTCGTTCATTATAATCACTCCACCGGAATCTGTTAAATGGTCATCAATATAGCAATAGAACAGACACTTCTAGACAAAGGGCCATCCACCCATATCTCCCTCAGAAAAAAAAACTAAAAACTAAAAAAAGCCCACACCGTATGCCCTATTCAAAGGGAAACGGCACTTCTTGGAATTAAAAAAACAAGAATTTTGGAGTGTGAAAGAAAGACAAATGATTCAGAACAACCATTTTTTTTTTTGTACACCATTGTTTGCCAATTTTGGAAGCAAGAATACAAATATGAGATACGGGTATAATATAATATAGATACGACAATATGATAAAATTTTAAAAAATAGAATACAAGTATGATCAGGAGACGTTTATAAATATAAATTTTATATTTTTACTATTATGTAATGATTTAATAATTATAATTTTTAGTGATTCTTTAACAATAATAAACAACATTAATAATTTTCTATTTTTAAAGAGTTTCCTATTGTCTCATTATCGTATATTTACAAAATGAATGTGATTAATTAAAAGAATAAGAACCAACATTTAACTATATTATTTGTTGCTAAGATTATAGAGTAATCAATCATTTAAACTCTTCGGACATGTGATCATGTATCTTATTTGGAAAACACACACATCTTTCAAGACATGATTTTTCGAATGTATTGCATTGTATCTAAAATCAAAAGGATGGGGTAAAGATTAAAATTAAAAATTACACATACTTTTTTGCTTATAGAAGTATTTATATATTTTACTTATTATTACATATGTTTGATGTGTATACGATACGTACCTTCGAATATTCGACAAATATTGTATCTAATACGATATTCAATATATATACGTCAACCTCAAAAAAATATCCGTATTTCATACCATGGTTATTGTGGGATCTTAGTTGCATACGCACTACACCAACGAAACATCTACATAAAAACAAAGGATTGCCCAAATGTCCATGTGAAGTGGGTTCGGAGGACATGCCTTTTGCTTGACGAATGGGAGTGGGAGGTAGGAGTTCAAGTGCCTGCATGTGCTGGGTGGTGAATGAGCTAGGCCATGGATGTTTTGATGAATACAGAAAATGCTTCTAGTGGTGGGTGAGCTTCTTGTGGATTGATATCTAGCGTAGCTACGAGTGCATTCCAGATAAGGTCCAGACTATACGCATGCTCAAATACAAGGGTTGTTGACGTCATGATCTCTTTAACGACGAAATTATTTTTATTTTGATTCAATGGTGAGAGTATTTAAATTAATTTACGTGTATTTTAATTAATATTTTTCTTGATTTTGTTAAAGACAGATTATCTACACTGAAACTAAGATATTAATAAGGAATAAATCTTCCATAACCTTTCTTCAAGAGATTATTGAGATTTGAATTCAAGACATCTGTGTTTAAAACTCGTCTTGTTACTACTTGAAGTATTCCTCGAAGTTGAGAAAATTATTTTTTGGTATTGCACTAAAAGTTATAATTTAATTAGGTTAAAGTATGATTTCAGGTAGGATTATTCTAACTTTACTTGACCTATTATCCGACCAAATTTTGACTAGGACCAACTAAATTGTAACTTTCTTAATTATTTTATGTACGGGTGTTCACCCTACCTTGTTAGTAGGAATTATTGTATTTCATCTTCTTATCCGATATTTTGCGGAAGAATATTTTTTTGATCTATCCTATCCGATCAAGTGTAATATTCCTACCCGAATAACGTCCAAAACAATCGGGTAAGAAGTCGGGTAAGAAATTGGGTGAACATGTATTTTTTAATAATTAATTTTTGGATCATTTTAACAATTTAATTCAATAGCCTGCACCAATTAACAAACACAATAAATAAATAACATTAAAGAAAACACAAAAAATTTAATAATACATAAACAATTACAATAAAACACAATAAGGAAGTCATAAACATCAATACATCATATAAAAAAAAGCCATAAATATCAATAGGACATTAGTATTTCTAGATTTTATAGATAAAGTCGGATAAGATAGGATATGATCGAAATTTACGAATAATCGAAAATTTAAAGATGTCTACTTTTATGCATGGTACTCCTTGCCAATATACAATTGTGGAAGCCAATGGCTTGTTTGTTTTGCGGAAAACTGTGGTTACAGCATCTTTACCGGTGTGTAATGGATCAAGATCCTACTAACATGCTCATTGCTTTGGCCCATGCTAGTCCTAGCCCGTGACTGACCCTATTTCCATAATGTAATGTCAACATTAATGAACGCCAACATTTACCTCCCACCAAAAGGAGGAAATATTCGGCGCTCGTAAGATATTACTTGAAAATGTCTTCTTACGTACATCACACACAAAATATTATATATTTACATGTAAAATATTATACAGTGTTAAAAAATGTTATATATGTTCATCTGTGTATAATAACGTACAATATTTTGGATATAAATATATAATATTTTGAATGTGATGTACATTAAAAAGCAGTGTCACGTGCTACTCTATAATTTCACCACCAAAAGGTAGATTGGAAATGATTACAGAGAGATATTTGGCCCACACTATACTCAAAGTTCCCCTTAGAGTTGTGGTGGTGGACTCCCTAACCATGAGCCTTATCGCTCAAGCAAAAAGGGTATTTGTTGTGCAAAACCCACTTGCATATCTCAATAAAAATTGGGATTTGGTACCATCTGTGAATTCTGGTAGAACTCACATTATATTGCACACTAACTGGGTGGCTGGCACGCTGAACTGGAGTAAATATTGAATGCAACGGTGATACCATGACACTATTGATGATATGGTATCACCAACCAATAATAAAACTCAAAATGAGAAAGGTGAACGTCAATTGGACTTACATGGCTGAAGAGTAAACAGTTATTTGCTTACATGGAATGTTAGATATTGATTTTTATTTGTTTATTTGTTTTATTATTATTGATTGGTGATACCACATCACCTTACCATATAATATCACCGTTGTAATAAATATTTTCTCTGGGTGTTGAATATAGCCCAAGGCTGATAGGAAGATGAAGCCTTGTTGCTAATAAATGTCATAGCCATGCTAGCTTGGGTGTTACATAGGCCCAATTAAGAGTTGGGGCCTATAAGGCCGTGCCCACAATGAAGGGACCTTTTTTTTTGGGTAAATTCCTAAGAAGAAGTTGGTTTCAAGTTTGGCCATTCGGCCGTGCCCGGCAAGAAAAGGGGCCTTTTTTTTGCAAAATGCCCACGAAGAAGTCAATCCTAAGGCTTGGCGAAAGAATTGTGGCCCAACCAACAATTGGCGCACTGGGTAAATATTTGAATTTCATCGCTCAATACTTGGATTCTAATTTTCATAGCTACGATAATTCGTTGGAGTTAAATCTACTTTTTAGCACATAAAACATACAATAAGATCCCCTGCAGATAATTGTATGGTGTTAAAAGACAATATTTTCTGACAAATATGTAGAATAACCTCTCTGCATATTCATTTTGTGTACCCAAAAAAAAAAAGAATTGCGGCCCTCAAGTTGGCCTAGGAGTCTATAGGTCCATCTCTCCATGAATGACAATATGAGCTTTTATCTGCCCATCGAGTTGGGCCATATATTAGCCCAACAGATAGCGGATCATGTTTTTTGCCCATCACAACCTATTCTCTTATGTCCAACTTCGATTTCATCCTACATTGCCCAGCAAACCGAACGAGAGAGAGATCTAAAAAGTTAATATGCTAATTTCTTGTCAAAACCTAATCCGAAAGAGAAAAAAATACCCGATTAAAAGATATCACTTTTTTTTTCCCGGTATAATGAAAAAAGAAAAAAGAAAAAATAAGAAAAGAGAACCTCCCTAACAAAAGTAATGCTGGCCGCATCCCCTTGAAGCTTTGTTTTCACCCCATTGGGGGATTCTCTTACAAACAACCAACTTCTCCGGTTGTTGTTCCGTACATCCGCACATTGGTTTCCGTCACGAAGACCATTTTGAATGCCATTTGTGCACTTTTTGTTTAAAAAAGATGTGACTATTACTTACTTTAGAGGATTAAACTATGGATCCCTTAAAATTCAAAAAACTATTATGGTCAAGCACGATGGGAATGCCGGGCCCAACCCGGCCCAATACAGGTCCGTTTACCTATCTTTGCCATCTGCGAGAATATACTGACAGCGAAGACCAAACGAATCACTGAATTTGGTCCTCCAATGAAACCACAAAACTCTAGTGTGTGCTCCTCCAATCCATTGAAATGTCAGAAAACGTGGCTGCTCCACGTTGATTGCTATTAATTCGTTACTATGACTCTGTCTCGATAGTAAAGTGTAACATTATTGACCGGCCGGCCGGTAGCCGGAGTTTTCAACGATAAGAACCTCCCGAAAAGTCAAGACACTAGACTATTTGTATTTATCATTTGGTC